TGCATCCACAGATGCATCTCGAGCAGGTCCAGAGAGGTGATCCTCCCCCTCTATGCGGCACTGGTCAGGCCGCAGCTGGAGTACTGCGTCCAGTTCTGGGCGCCGCACTTCAGGAGGGATGTGGACAGCATGGAGAGGGTTCAGAGGAGGCCACTCGCATGATCAGGGGGCAGCAGGGCAGGCCTGGGGGGCTTTTAGAGGAGGCTGGATGAACACCTTGCTGGGGTCATTTGACCCAGTACTCTTTCCTGCCATGGGCAGGGGGTGGGACTCGATCTGCTCAGGTCCCTTCCGACCCTTGAAACTATGAAACCCCATAAGATTGGGCCACTAATATAGTCCATGGCCTGTTGTGACCTATTTATACAACATTTCTAAAAAGATTACATGAATATATTGTCTCAAATATATAAATATAATTAGAAGTTATAATCCCTATTCCATGATGATATCTTCGAGCTTTAATATATCTTAAATTCAAACTATCTTTATATAGGTTTTTTTATATTTAAAAAAAGCATCTTAAATACGATTAAATAAAAATCTGATTTTATTTTATTTTTTAAATCACTGATTTTTATCTATCCTGGTCCTGCTCCACTTGAGACTGCTACAGTAATTGTTTGTGGGTTGTAGACTACTGGCAGATAGGCACAAATGGGTTCACAGAACTAACATTAAGAGGGTTTCTAGGGCACGATCATTTTGGAGTTTCTAGAGTTGAACAAGGCTGCAATCCTTTTGCTACTGGCTGCCAGAGAGACTTAATTGGTCATCTCCATTTTTAGTGGGAGCTCAGCTTCTAAGCAAGGCAGACAGTTGAGGATAACCACATGCAGTTGTTCCTGTCTTGACTTGCATGTGGCTGTAATCTGTCTGCCCCAACCATCTATTTCTTCTGCTCCTCTCCCGGCTCACAGGCAGAAATCCTTGAGCAGGCTGCTTTCTTTCACTATAGCTGCATTTTCTCATCCTGCAGCTCTACTGTCATGTAGCTGAACAACTCTCACTCTTACTTTTCCAGCTTCATTGACTCTCACCCCCACAGCCCCAGCTGCCGCTTCCCCACTTGTTTCACTGCTCACACCCTCCCTTCCTTTCTCCCACTGCAGCTACTCAGCGTGCAGCATCACCAGCCGTGTCCAAGAGCAAACACGACTTGTCTCTCCGAGTGCTGCCAATTGGTGCTTTCCTCTGAGCACACAGATCGTGTTTACTGTCTGTCTGGAGTCCTCTTCCACCCCAGACCCTCTCCTATCCGGGATCTGCCTATTGGGCACCACTAACCCTGCTCTTGTTAAAATCTGTAATGCCCTTGCCAAAGCTCAGCACAGCACCCATGCTCCTCCTTGACCTGTCAGCTGCCCTCAGTCATGCTTTGCGACAGCCTTGTCTGCCCTTAGCTTCCATGAAACATGCTCATGATGAGGTCCTTGTACATCACTGCAAACCACTTCAGTATTGACTTCCAAATCCCTGCTTCGCCGTTTTTGCTGCAGTGCCCACTGAAGCCCGACTGGCCTTTTAGATGCTGTGCTGACATGCCTCGCTTGTTTCCTTGTCTCTGGTTTGTACCCGTTGGTTGCCTTATGGAGTGTGGACGTGGGCTGTTGATTATGGCATGCAAAGGGGTAGAGCTTCACCTCGTGTCATACTCCACAGTAACTGCCCATGTGCACACGCTTACCCCAGGGTAAGAGCAAACTAACCTATGGTAGCTTTAGCCCTCTTATGTTGCAAACTAACCTACCAGGGCTCCACTTCCACTTCCCGCAAGGCAAAAGCATGGATTTGGGTAGTTGCTATGAAGCAGTTGCAGGGAAGTAAATACCCTGCCTCCATTGATTGATTGAGGTAAGCTGCTTGTATGTCCAGGTAGTTAGGCTCTTTGGGAGGAGAGAGTCTACAATTTTGTTTAGTACCCAACACAGCGGCAGCCTTGCCCACAGGGAGGGCCCCTAGCTGGTCTGGAAACACAGCGGAAAGCTGCCTTTTTGGAACAGATGGTTCTGTTCCCCAACCAGATTCAGTGACCCATGCCCTTCCTTAGATGAATCCCCTCTTGGAAAGTGCATCACAGATAAAATGTAGGGGGCCTGATGGTGTGAATCTCTTCACATTGGGTGCAGAGGCCTTGAAAGCCTTCCACAGCTGCTAGTGTTACAGAGCAGGCTGTAATGCTTTATTTAGCAGCTCTCCTGAAGCTGACTGCAGCAGTCCTCCTCCCAGCCACAGCAGAGCAAGCGGGGTGAATAATACATATTAAGCTATACAAGGGAAGCCAATTGTGTTGTCAAACACTGACTTAGGCTTTCATGGGAGTTGAGTCAACTGGCTGGAAGGGGAAGCTGAAGTGCTTTTAAATGCTGAGGGCCCATGCTGTTCAGCAGTAAGTGCATCTGGTGGCCTAATTCTGTCCTCTGTGCCATAAACCGTGGCTGCTTGCAGCCTTATATCCTTACCCACTCCCAGATAACTATAAATGAGCTGTGTGACAGCATGGAGTGGACTACATGCAGCTCTGCGCTGCCTCTAGTAGTTTGAAGGCAGGGGAGGAGAATTGGGCGTCATTGGTTTTAAGCTCTGGCTCAACCGTGGCCATTTCAATGGAAGGGGCAACGTTGTTGGCACCACCTAAAGAGTTGCTTTGTTCTCCGTCTTAGTACCTGGCATTAAATGCGATGCCTGCAACTTTGTATGCACGTCTGTCTCCTGATGTGCCACGTAACCAGGAATTGCCAGTCAAAAAGCAGCAGTCTGGGCTCTTGAAAAGGGAGAGGGGTCATCCAGGGCTTGTCCTGCCTGCCTCCTTCCTCCCCTGCCAGTAGAAATTTAAATAAACTTGCACAGCATTTTAAGCTCTTTTAGGCTGGCACTTTCTGACTGGAGTCAGAATACATTCACACCTCCTAGCTGGGGCCTTGTGTGTTAAGTGTAAAGGCGAGGCTATTACTTCCTTCCTCTGGTTCTTCCCAGCACCTTGTCTTGCCTCCTAGGGTATCCTTTTCTCTTCAAAGCTGCCTAAAGAGTAGCTGAAATCCTTTCACTCCAGAGCACTCTTCTGCTGATGTGCCTCAACCCCAGCTTGGGAGGGATCAGACCTGGATCACTGAGTCTTCCTACCCTGGTCACCTGGAGGATGTGGTGCATCTGCCCTCTCCGCCCCAGGCAGAGGAAGGGGCAGCCAGCTGGCTTGCAGGTCATTCCCGACCGAAAACACAGAGGCTCCCAGGCTGGAGGGGTTGACTTGAACTTTTGAATGCTGGCCTGCAGGCACATATTTGAAGTCCTCTCCATTCTCTACAGTGCCTGCAAAATTAGGGACTGCCCTTTTTCCTGGGATCTTGGGTGGAAAACGCCAAAAGCCTCTTGTCATCCGCACTTGTGGTAAGGTGACTAACTCCGCTCCACGCCTCCTTCAGAGGCTGGATCATTGCAGTGTGGTCTGTATGGAAATAGCTCGAGCCACGGCTGGCACAGGAGGAGTGTGCATGCCTGCTGGAATCCAGTCCGACCAGTTTTCTGTTGCTGGCTGTTATTCCAGGGGCCGTTCTAGGTGCCCATTAATAGTTTCAGGGCTGTTATTGTAGCCGTGTTGTTCTAAGGACACAGGCAGACAAGGTTCTTTGGATAAATGTGATATCTTTTATTAAATCAACTAAATAGTTGGAAAAATGATTCTCCATGAGTTTTTGGGCACCCTTTTCAAACATAGGGAGACACTGCTGGCCTCCCTATGCCTGAAGAAGGGTGTTTGTGCCTGAAAGCTTGCAAAGAACAATTTTTCCAACTATTTGGGTAGATGTGAAATATCTTTTATTAGACCAACTAAAGAACCTTGCCTGCCCATTAATAGTGCGGGTCTTGTCACTTCCTTCTGGGAGCCAGGAACCACTACAGCAGCTGAGCTTGTGTCTGTTCATGACTCTTGGGTGTTAAATGTCTAGAGGTTGGGGGCTGCAGGTTCCCCGTGGAGAGCCTTCTGCAGTTCTGCCTTACTAGTCAGTCCATTGTTGTCTGATAGCAAGGCATGCAGTGCCAGGGGTTTGTCTCAAGGGATCAAGGGGAAGCATTTTAAGGAGAGGTTCTCTTGCTTTTGGTTGGAACCAGTGGCATTTGATCCATTATTCCTATTTTTCCTGCCCCCCTCACCTTTTCATCCTTCTGTCCTTCTCTAGAAGCTGTGCCAGTACCATCAGCTTCTCTAATCCCATAATTTAGGGATCTTCATCTTCTTTGGAGAAGAGTATTCGGGGTTCTCCCTTCACGTTGGCAGCCACGTGTTCGGCACTGCATCCCGTTCCCAGCGGCTGGGCTTCCCTGTAGGAATGAGAGCAGTGAGTCTCCACCCAGGTGCCACGGCTTCAAAAACGAAATCCATAGTCAGGGTCTTTCTGAGTTCTTTGAACAGAAAAACTGCTGTAATTTTTTTTTTTTTTTTCCTGTAAGCCAAAAAAAGAGGCATCCTGCCCTCTTTCTCCTTTTCCAGGAAACCCATGATCACGTCAGCCACGACACTGTCTGCACTGCTTCTCCTCTCCTACCTCTTTCCTGCCACAAACTGCAGCTCTTATCTCGTTTCGTGACTGATTTATTTTTTTGCTGACTTCTTGGTGGTTTTTCTCCTTTTGATCATCATGTTGATCCCTAATTTAGTTGCTATTCCTGTGATAAATGGGTTCTTCATAGAAGAGGCTTTTTACGTGAGCATGTGTACGCGGCTGGGAAACGAACTGCCTGGTCTCTCCAGCTCCAAGTCCGGGACTCTGTAATACAGATGTCCTATCCACCCACGTGCCTCGGGTTTTTTATCCGTTATCAAAAATCTCGTGCATCCCTTTGAAGTCTTCACTGCTGGCTACTGTCAGATGGAGTGCCAGACTCGATTCACAATTGATCCGAGGTGGCGTGGCAGGACCTGTGTTAACTTTTGTAATCCATGTGTCTTATGCATCTGTCACTACCCCAACTGGTAAATTTAATTCCACAGCCCAGCCATGCTTTAGATCTTCAATATATGCTGATTATACCCTCTCTCTTTCTCTTTCCCTCCTCTCCCCATATACAGAATACATTCAGAAATATGCAACAGAAGAAGCACTAAAAGAACAGGAAGAAGCCACCGGGGACAGCTCATCAGAGAGCTCCATGTCTGACTTCTCGGAAGATGAAGCGCAGGATATGGAGTTGTAGTAGAAGAAGCGACCTGCTTTTCAGAGAGACTATTATTTCCTAACCATGAGAAGCAGACTATAATATTCATATTTAAACAAAGCAATTTTTTTTATTACTAAACAAGGTTTTTATGAATAATAGCATTGATATATATATATATATATATACACACATACATATATATATATATCACCCTTTAGATCTTGATTTCTTGGTCATTTCTCAAACCCAAGGTGCATAGCATATTCCCACATTCCATTTTGGTAGCAATATGCAGCCCGAATGCATGCATTCATAATTCCATTTGGCCAAGTCCACTTGTGTGCTACTGAACTGTCAACTAAAAACAGCTGCTCTGGTAGGTAGGGAGTTAGTAAAGATTTTTTGTTGTTGTTGTTGTTTTTTGGTTTTTTTCCTCCTTTTTATCAGTGTTTCCAAAGACACCACCTTGGATGCTGATGCAGCACAGCGCTTTCTCAAAGTAAGAACCTGGGGGATAATGTCAGGATGTGGAGATAAGATGGTGAAATAAAAGGTGCTCCTTCAGGCAACATGGCTGATCCTATTTTATGTGGAGTCATGTTTAAAAAAGATGCACGAGCTAATCGGAGCATTGAAACTTAAACACTTTTCTGACTTGGATTTTAAGTATGTGTTTATATGTGGACTCTTGCCCTCTGAAGTATAGGGACCTACAACCACTGGTCTGTTTAGTTTTTGGGGTTTTTTACTTTTGAAAGCCTTCCTCTGGACATCTATTCACTTTCTTGGTCTGGATTATGAGATGTTTCCTTTTTGGGGGAACCCCCACCCCACAATGGTATGTGAACAGTGCTTTAATATACCTGGAGCACACACCAAGTCAAACCCTCGCTTTATCATAGTTTGGAAACAGCTGCCATTTAATGGCTTCAAGCTTGCCTGGGGTTTCTTTTTGCCGGCTTGAAGTATGGCTAAAGACCTCACAAAAAAAAAAAAATCTCCATCTCCTGAAAGTGTTTTCTGACCAGATGGATAGCCTTGCTGAGAGCTTCAGACCCATGAAGATTGGTCCGCTGGCCGTAGTCCACGAATCCATCGGCACTCTCATTCTTGGTTTCCTTTTTTCCCCCTTCTGCAGCAGCTTGATAGCCATCTGCTTGTGAGTGTACAACAGACAACTCTCCAGAGTTGAACAAAGGAAAATGATCTAGGAAAATTTTAAATTAATTTTTAAAAAAATTTAAAAGACAATTTTGGGGAAACATGCAAATCTTTTTTTCCCCTCCCCAAAGACTTTTCTGGATGAAGATTTTTTTTTGATATTTCAACATGCTAAAATGTTGGTTTTGGGGGGGGTTTTTTTGTTCATTTTTAGTTTTAATGCTAAGAAAACATGAATACAGTAACTTGCCTACGTGGGGTGCCAGTATACTTGAATTTGGAAAATGGCGCATTTGAAATGCCAACTAAGACGGATTTTAAAACCGGGATGTTATCTGCTGTATTTGTAGGGTTTTCTGAGGGGTTTGGACAACCAGTTACTTTAACTTTTGGGACAACCTGCAAGACTGCATGGAATTCAAGCCATCCTGAGAGACCATCGAACTGAATTTGCATGTCAGACTGGACTCAGTAAAAAACAAAAAAAAGAAGAAGAAAGTTTTCCATTTCATCACAAGTGTTTTTTCCCTTTTAGAAATGCCCCTGAGTTGCGTCAATGAGGTTGGAAGATACAATCCTATTTTTTTTAATTCATAAAGCACAATCAGTTTTTTTTGGAAAACTATAAAGTACAATTTTGCTTTAGCATGATTATTTTCCTTAATAAAAAAAAATAACCTACAAAGATTTTACTTATTTTATGTTAATTACGGGCATGAAGCAAAAGGGGTTGTTTTTTATTTCCATCTGCTTTTTTTTCTTTAAAAAAAAAAAAAGCAGTAATGTAGGGCTGTGGTTTGTTACTGTGCTGAAGTTCTCTATCTAGCATTTGTGGCTTGTTGGAAGGGGGTAGTATTAAACTATTTAACATGTAATGGTGTACGTTAACTCTTATCTAGCACGCTGTTTTCTCATTTCTTTGGGGAGGGAGGGGCAGAGTTTTTTGCTGGCACTGTTTAACTTGCTTACCTGCTGGACTAGCAGTTTGCTTAAGCTATAACTTTAACTGTAGGTGCTATTTAGGGGTAGACAAAAGTGCTGGGTGGTGATATCAATTTAAAAACAAAAAAACAAAAAAAACAACAAAACAATAAAAATTTGTATTTTTTCAATATTGTATAAACATAGTGTTCTAATTCCCTCCATTTTTTTTCCAGGTAACTATGTCCCTCCCTCTCCCCAACCCCCGGCTCTATTGGCTAGCCGGGTTTTTCACATAGAGCACTTGCGCGCACACCTTCCTTTCAAGAAGCCCGTTTTTTCAGTAGAAGCAGGTGTCCAGTTCTAAGCATCCAAAGGAATTGCAATGAGAGCTGCCGCTGTCTAAGGCAGGCTCCCGGGAGAGCAGGCACACGCCTTACTGCCCTGATCTCTCTGTTGGAAGGTGCACGGTGGTTCTGTTGTCCAAGCCGCTCCGATTTCCCCCGTACCTTCTTTTATACACGCAGACACTTGTGGGTCTAGATCTGGAACTGTGTACTTCAACTGCAGCGCTTTTCCTCGGACATTTAATTGAGGAGAACGGTGGAGTTTGTAGCCTTGCCTGCCAGATGTTGAAGGTTCACCTGTTTCGTGCTGGATCCCTTCCCCCTTGCGGTGATGGCAGTAGGGAAGGAAGCCTGCAGTAAGCTATCGTTTGCAAGGATCCAGCCTCACGCGAAATGCCGATTTTTTTTTTTTTAGAGGATAAACTCAAATGGATTTGACTTATTTTTTTCCCAGATGGGAACAGCTGCTTGTAGCCTCATTCCACCCGTCTCCTGTGAGCACCATTCTTTTGACCTCCTTCCCCTTCTTCAAGCCAGAACAGCCTGTAAATACAACTACTCCCACCTAGTCTTCAAGGGAAACATGGAACTGCTTTGAAACCGGGTGCCCTTTTTTTTTCTTTTTAAGTTTGGTTCCTTTAGAAATGCTAGCAGACGTCTCCAAGTACCACTGCCACTTTCTGCGCCCCCGCCCCTGTTCTGATCACTCGACTTCAAAGTGTCAGCTGGATGGGACTCGCTAGGCCTGCTCCAGCAGAGCCGTGTTTTTGATACGTATCCTCATAGTCTGGATGAACCTCCAAGTATGGAAGTTTCTAAGTCACCTGCTGCAACCATTTGGGGATCTGGCTCCTTTGGCTTTAGATCTAGTAGCTTACCACCTTGGTGTGTCTTCTCCTCTGTACAAAATATCACAGCTGCCATTGATCAACAGATCTCGCGCTCCCGCCTTGAGAAGGTCCATACATTTGCCAGCAAGGCTCATCTTTAAACCTTCATCAGAAATGGGTTTTAGCTCATCTGGAGGCTTCTGAGTATTGTATTTTTTTCACTAGACCTTCCATTGTGACAACTCTATACTGTGGGAGGAGGGGACCCAAAGGAGGGAATATTGGAAGAAGTGAATCTTTCACAGAGTGAATCCTGGATGCAGATCGGGAGCGTTTCCCCAGCTCTGCTTTTCTTGTCTGGTAACACGTGCTCGCGATCAGGAAAGCAGCGAGTCACGTGTGGCTCCTTGTGCTTCAGACGTCCCAGTTGGCCAAGTAGGTTGAAGGGAGCGGAAGCAACTGTGCAGTTCATGTGCCACCTCGCACAACCCACCTTCACCCCACATGCAAGGCAGAGAGAACGGAGCTCCGTGCCCTGCCTTTCTCTCCATCCCTCCTTCTGCAGCATGGATGAGAAATGCTGGAAGCTGTGCTGCACTTGGCTTGCCCTGGCTTCTGCTTTGCAGGTAGATGCATCGCAGCATTTTGATGCATCAGTGCTAGCTCTGATTAGCAAAGACCCTACCACGTCAGAGCTGTTTCACATCACGCAGGGGGCACTGGGGTTGCGGGGGTTGCTGGTTTCTTATCTCCCCCCTCCCCCCCGTTTATATATCTATCTTATCTATTTTTTTGCTTCCTTTTTGCCCATCTTGAGTTCTGCTGGCACTTTAGCAGGCGTGCGTGTGGCATGAGAAATGGCCATTATTTTACTGACTGTATTTGGTACATATTGTGTGATACTTGAAGAGATCCAGGGTGTTGAGCCCTCCATTTGGAGTCTAAGCTTTTTGGGTTCGTTCTTTTCTTTTTTTCTTTTTCTTTTTTTTTTCCAACCCCCTCCTCCCCCTTTTTCTTGCATTGTGATGATGTAGTGGGCATGCCTGTCACCATGACAAATGCCTCTTCTATAACTTTTCTCAAATAGTTGTGTATAATTAAAGAACTGTAAACTTTTTTTAAATAAAATATGTATATACCTTGCTCTGCTTGCCTTGCTGCTTGCTGGGGGCAAAGTCCCACTCCGTTGGGGAGTGTCTGCAGCCCAGGGACACTGCCGCCGTTCCTCCACCACCCACCGAAGCTGTGTAGTGCATCATTCCTCTAACCCTGCGTGAAATCCTGGTGCTCACTTGACAAGCTGCAGCCTGTTAATCTGGGCTAATTCTTGAAGAGGTGCTCAGTTTACGGCTCCTGTTCCTATCTTCAGCGCTCCCAAGATGCAAGGAGTGGTTGGAAGACTAGATACTGCTGTCCATTCACCACCAGTTTATAGGAAAAAAACAACCTTGCTAAGGTAACTTAATGAAAGCACATTCAATCTCTCCTATGGCATTTGAACCGGAGTACTAGGAGTCAGCAGGTTTCTTAGCTGCCAGTTAATCAGGCTGGCTTGAAAATACCTGGGGTTATACTCTGGCAATGAGAGTATTGGCAGACTCCGACTGGTTTAAAAATTGGCCAGTAACAAAAATAAGCCTCGTTTGGTGACTCTCAACTGGGGTGCGGGGAGATGCTTGTAAGGGTGTTGCACAATATGAGCCCTGAAGTGTGAGGGTGCCTAAGTGTGATTCGTAAGATAAGCCCAGAGATCTCCAAAAGGGATCAATAGCGTCACAATCCCGCCCTGGTGCAGACTTTGAGCTCTTTGCAGCAGAGGAATTGCACTAGTATATTTTTTTGTGAAAAAAGTATGAAAATAAAGAGCTGGTGTTTTCCAAGGGGGACTAGTAGTACCTTGCTCTGGATCTCACCTCTAGCCAACACTAGATGGTGCCATTTGCCAGACTTCCCTCGATGTTTTAATGTGCTGAGAAGAGAATTCGTGAACCAAAGCTCTGAGTTGGGCAGTGTGGCTCCTAGGGAGGCATCCTGTCCGGAGAAGTGCCAAACGAGCCCGTAGGGGCAGCGATTGGGCGTGCGGCACTTAGATCAGGCCAAGCACCGGACTTTACAAAACGGGGGATGGGAGGTAAAATCGGGCACCGCGCTGCTTTGCAGTTGAACTTGGCCGAGGCCCGGGCTGAGGGCACTGCTAAGAGTAGGAGGCAGAGACCACCCTGGGGAAGTAATTTGTGGGCAGACGGTAGAAAAGGTTTGCAAGGCCACTGGCTACAAGCACGGATTTGCAAATAAAACATGCATCAGCTTTATGCCTCCACTGTCCTGGCCCGTGCCATGTGCTGCTTTTAAGTGGACAGAAGCAGTTGGAAATCTATGCATATATATTTATATATAATTTTTTTCCCCCCCCCCGGAAGAAAACTTCTCGGAAACTTTAAGCAAAGAAACAGTCTCCACTCAGCTGCCGGCACAGCTGCACAATAAGCAGCAGCCAGGGATTAGAGCCGCTTGCTCAGTGAGTGAAACAGCTTTTCGCTTTAAAATAAATACCCGGCCTTGACGCTTCTCTGCGTTTTTCATGAAGGCAGCGCCCCATGGCAAACTCTGGTGCTCAGAGCGAGTGGGCCGATTCAATCTGAGCCGGTGGACTGCACAGAAGGAACGATATGCATGATGGAGACCTGTAGGAGACCTGTGCCTGCCTTGGCTGGGACTGGGGGTAGCGTCTCCTCTGCGGTCATCCCCTTACCCTTACGGGAGCTCCTTCCAAAAATCACAAGCCCTCCCTGGTTGCGGCTGGTGGGGCGGTGCTCAACTTGGGGCTTGGTCAGGGCTTTTATGGAGGTTTCCCCCTGCGGGGTGGCTAAATTCACCGCCTGTTCCACGCTGACCGAGCAAACGTGACCCTGCTCCCAGCTCTCCTCCAGAGAAGCCAGATCCTGGAGGGCATCCACACGGTTATGGTGGTGGGTGTGCAATATCCTGAGCACCTATATGAAGCTCCAGGTCCCTCGACATGAGTCCAAAGAGGAGATGGCATCGTGGCCTTGACCGCATCGTTCTGCTCATACCTTGATCCCACGTTTTCGGGGTCCATTTATCGTAGTCAATAACTGAGGACTTCGCCTGGAGTTTGTATTAGGCATTTTTCTGCCCCGAGCTGGACCATCAAGCTGCCTTGCATTGGAGACATGGACCTCCTCTTGTAGGAAGGGGGAAGTGGCAGGTCCCAGAACTGATTCCTTGTGCAGAAGACGAGCCCCTGCTGCCTACGTGTCCACCATTCCCAGTTACGCTCTTAAACTGGGGAGACAGGCACTTCCAATGATGGCTGCAGCTTCCTCCTTCCAGGACCTTGGCAGGCAAATGCCTTTTAACTAACAAATACGTATTCCAGCGAGGCAAATCCTTGCAGGTAACCGTGATGGGAGCAGTTATCTTGGTGGTCTCTAATGTCCTGGGCTCAGTCACCCCCTGAGCTGGCCTCGTCCCACTGACCCCAGGGGATTAGCTGCCTGACACCATCACGTTCTCTTCTTTTTCAGGCCTGAAATTAAACCCCCCTTGCTTGTTCTGGATCCAAAAGAAAGAGGGATTTTGTAGGGTAGTTGTCTGCAGAAGAATGGCTGGCTGCTCTCCACGGGGAGCCGGGGGACTGGCGAGCAAGGTGGTCGAGTGCGATGCACTGCGTCACCCGGGGGAAGTTGGGAGAGGGGCTGGGGACAGTCTCCAGCCTCAGTGTCCGATGCGCCCTTGGCTGGCCCCTGCACGCTGGGATCGGGCCCCACGTCGCCCTGCACGCCTGATCTGGCACTCGGGACCGAGGGCTCCCTGCGGCTCCGGAAACTCGGCAGCAAGCAGAGCAGTGCCACCACTGCCCCACCGCCGAATATTTCAGACCTGCAGGGAGATGAAATGGTGCCGTGGGTTGGACCTGGCCTACAGGCCCAGGGTTGGGCCCCCGTATCCTACAAGAGGGATGGAGGGCACGTCGTGGCGCTAGGGGACCGCTCTACCTAGCTGGAGACCCTGGGGCGTCTCTCTGATGCTGCCCAGCCGCGGGCAGAGAAATGGCACCGACGTGGAGCCCGCTGGGCTCCCAGGCCCTCTCCCCCCTGGGCTGCGTGCGCGGAGGGGGAATCGCCGCTGACGCCAGGTGTCGCTCCTGTGAAGCAGGAGTCCTTGGGTGCCGATTTCTGCTTTACGAAGTGGGAGAGCACCCGCTGTAACAGGACTCGGGGGAGCAGGAGCCTCTGTCCTAGAAGGCGTCCAGCTCCTTGCACGCCCGGCTTGCTGGATGGCTCCTGTTGCTCTCCGCCGACGAGCCCGACTTGCAGCCCACTCCCTCCTGGCGGAGAAGAGCCGTGTCCCTCCATGCAGCGGGTCCCCTGTACGGCCCCTCAATTTGCAATGCGAGGGTAAAGTCGCTTGTGCTCAGCGTCACGCGAGAGCCATCTACTGGCCACCGTGCCTGGCCGCGCCCTCGGCCCCAGGCTCCCGGCCCCCATGCCCAGGGGCCCCCGTGCTGTCGGGGTGGCTTTGATGCAGGGCAGGAGCTCCCAGCTAGCTCCGTAGGACGCGGCTGGCACGTGGGAGCTCCTCTGTGCCCTGCTTTGCTGCTGGCGTGGGGTCCCTGGCAAGCAGGAGGGCGCAGAAGCTGGCAATTAGGAGCTAGCTGCTGTTTTCAGAGGATGGGGGTGGGTTTCCCCGCGCCAGAGCCCTTCTAGTTAGCTCTCGACCTGGGCTGTAGTGGGGTTGCTACCTTGCCCCTTGCTGGGGCACCGAGGCCGCAGCAGGGCAAGGCACCCTCTCCCTTTGCTATGCTCCGCCTGGGCACCGGCGGGGATGGAGAGGCCCTGTTTTAGGCCCCCGGGTCCCTGCAAAGCATCAAGGGGTGCCTAGCAGATCTAGGCACCAGTCCTGACCCCTCTATATGCACCCGTGGCCTTGGCTGGGATTGAGCTGAGGCTGGGCAAGCCCCTGGTTTGAGGGAAACTGAGGCACACACCATGCTTTGCCTTGGCCCTTTTCAGCTTGTCCAGCAGGTGGACCTCCTGCTCTGCCTCCTGCGTGCCCTGGGCTGCTCCAGCCTGGCGCCGAGCTCCTGCATGGCTGTGCAATGTGGCCCCGTCTCTCCTCCTGCCCCTCGGGGCAGGAGCCAGAGGTAACGGGGCTCGCTGCGCCTGCAGCTGCCCCCAGCCTGCAGCTCCCTGCTCCGCTCCTCCTCGCTGCCCAGTGCCCGGGGTGGAAGTGGGACACAGACATCGCCGCTGGGTTTGCCCCGAGGAGCCAGGAGCCGAGGGGGGCTTCCCCTGCTTGCCCTGGTGGGAGGCAGCGAGGGGCAACCTGGCTCGGGGGGTCCCTGCCTTCCCGCCCCTTCCTCGTGCTGGAGCACTTAGTGTCAGCGGGTCCCCCTGCTTTATTCCCTGCGATACCCTTGATGACTGTCCCTTGCGGGCTGCAGAGCCAGCCCCCAGCCCCGGGATGGCCGTCCTGGCTGGGTCTCCATGTGCCACCCAGCCCAGCTGGCCCCAAGCCCCCCTGGAAAAGACACCCGGCAGCTTGCAGTAGCACGGCGGGCTGGACCCGATGCCTCGCGAGCAGCAGGGGGGAGAGCAGCCGGCTCGGCGGCTTAGCAAGGTGAGGCCGGGTCACCCCGGCTGGGCCAGGCCGGCGGCAGGCGCCCCTGGACAGACCCAGGGCCCCAAGCAGGGAGCGCCCAGGGCCTGCCCGCTGGGGAGCAGGGAGCGCCCCCAAGCCGCAGCAGTGGTCCAGGGACTGGGGTGGTGCATGCGCCTCTTTTCCACGGGCCCCCCCGTTTTATGCAAAGCCCTGGATCACGAATAGTCCCCGAGCCCGTGGTCAAGACAGAGGTGCCCCAGCCTGCCATGCGCCGAAGGACCTTGCTACCTAGAGAGCCCCTTGCCGGGCGTCCAGTATGCCCAGTCCCTCCCCACGCAGGCCGGACTCTGGTGATATGTCTAATAAATCCCCCCCATCGCTGGCTGCTTGCCTCCGGCCTCCCCTGCTTCGGCTACAGCTGGGCTCTCGGCTGCTACCCTGCGCCGTGGTGCTGACCCCATCCCACGAGCTACATCCCGATACCTGCTGGGGGGCAAGCGACTCTCCGATCACGGCCC